TTTTTTTGACTTTCCCAGATAATTTACATCCAACAAATTTCATTTGTATTCAACCATTTTCTACGCTTTTCGCTTAGGGAAAAATACAATTTCATGTAATTCACAATTTTATGTAATAAATGAGAAATTTTGTAGAAGCAAATGCATCGAAAAAATTTTCACAACTTGGAAGGTTTACAATGAGGAATTTGTGTGACATACAATACTGTAAAAGAAAGAAAGATGAATGGAATATGAGCGAAAGAAGTAAGACAAAATTATTACAATTTGTGTGAAACTTCTGTAAAGTTCACTGTACATTTTATTAAGCATCAAATTGTTTTATAATATCACACAATTTCAAAAATTATGATATTTGCATCCCCAAATGTGCCCTTCGTAAGATATGCCAATTTATTTTAAATAATGAATTTTTGCAAAAATTATTAGTAAAATTGAAAAAATTCCAAAAATTTTTCGTAAAAAACTCCTACAATTTAATTTCAAATTTTTTAATAGTTTGTGGAATTTTGATCAATTTTACCCTATATTTTATAGTTCTTAAAATTTACCTACCCGTAAAAGAGCAACATGATGGACATAACAATTTGAAGATGATAAAAATTTATGAAATAAAAAATAAAATTATATCGGCAAAAACAATTATAAATTATGATAGGTCAACATTAGTGATAAAATTAAATTCAGAAATAATTTGGTCCACTATAGTTATGCTACATATGACAAGGTAATTCAGATACATATATTATCGAAATGTATTCAAATAAATCCTGGAGCATTATCCGAAAGACGGTAGTATGATATAATATGACTCAAATCATTAAAAATAAAGGTAGCAAAGTAAAGAATTTAATTTAATTTCTCTTTTTATAAGCTTCTCAATCTTCGATGTCCGAAAATGCCAAGATAGCAGTAATATTAGTAACTCAATTACTAGTAAGAAAAAGAAATATTTGCATATAGCAATCGGAAAGAGTAAAATGGAAAAGAAAACAGATTGCTTTGAGTTGATTTAAAATCATAACCCTGTTTCTAAAGCATCACCAATACATACTCATGTCATTTAACATGATATAAATCAATCAAATCACCGGTTTTGTAACACCTGTTTACAAAATCAGAAAATACATAATATATGCACACAGCACATAAAGTTTACAAAAAAAAAATAAGTCGAGCACGCAATCAAAAACTGAAAAGTAAAAATTATTGATAATGTTCATTTGAAAATTTCAATTCAAAAATCCAAATTTCGAATTTATAATTCTGGATTCAACTCATTAAGACTATAATTCATAAGTACAACTTTTAAATGAATTGTTGCATACGAACAACGAGGATTTTGAAACAAGCTCACCCGAAAGATCATTACAGCAATTAGATGGCCACTGCTTCCCATTATTTTAATCGACTTTAAATTCACATGCCAATAAGCGTGCAAGATTATCAGCATGAATAGCGAATTGAAACGGGTAATCCGATGATATCAACATATCCGATTGTGATGTGATAGCTGCATGAAATTTAGGTTCCTCGTAATCACGAAATGAAATACCGGAATCCGAGCTATCATGTGCTGTGACATTTACCTTCGAATTACAAGCAGACACGAGAGTATTGGTTGTCGCTTGAACTGAAACCATCGTCTGATTGGTAATATCGCTAAGAATCAGCGTGTGGTCCAAATTTTTTGCAGCTAAAGAATACGATGAGATTAGATAAGAGAAATTGCAATTTTATCATTTAAAAATACATTCAACAATAATTAAATTCACTCAATCTTAGCTGTTCATAATAAAAGTATACTTTCTGAGCAATTTTCAGACACATAGTAGAAATTAATTTTAATTGTAAGTAAATTTACCAGAAACGATTTCCTATTATAATCGTATTTGCTATATTCGGTTATTAATAACGATTAAATTTACTATAATCAATTTCATTTTACAAAAAAAAAAAAGATATCATCACTGAATAATTATTACCGACCTAATATTTCTTCTGGATCTTTGGATAATGGTTTTATATTTTCAGTAAAATATTGCAACTTAAGTAGCTGATCCAAATCACGATGGGCAGAAAAAAATGCAGGTGACTCAAGCGGCCAAGATGGCGGTGGACGATTTGTCGCGCGATTCGACAATGATATATGGGAAGGTTTCGAATTAACACTGTTAACGGATGCCAAAAGAGCACGTTCGCGTTGCATTTTCAAATACTGAAATTCAATTCAATAATTTAACTTTATTAAGTTAAATTATCATATATATTAGTTTTAATTGTAAGTATAATTTCAAATAATATAGTTACAAAAAAAGATTTCTAATATATTGAACTTGAAAATATACCCGATCAGGTCGTATATATGGATTTGAAGCATTTGATGCTTCCGGATGAATGAACAGACAACGATCACCATATGGACAAAGTCCAGCCATTGTGTATTTATCGCACAATTTTGTCTTGTATTTAGGATTTTTCGTTGGTAATCTGCTATAATATTTTTATAGAACACGGAAGAAAGCAATTCATAAATGCTAATATTAATAGTAATAATAAATTAAATTTATACTTGCAAGGACGCAACTCTTCTTCACCATGAGCGAAACGACAATTCTCTGCAAAACTACATACTCCACTTTCAAGCCAAGCTTGGCACATCACCTTCAATTTTTAAAAAAAGCATGAAATAATGGGAAAATGATAGAAATATGAGTAAAGAACAAAATAGAATCCATCAAATTAAATATCAAAATATCAGAAGAAAAATTAACGCTATTAAAACCGTTATAAAAAGAAATGATCAATCAGTTACTGTCTTATTTATTGCTTTGCTAATACCATTAAAAATAATTATAGCTTTAATTCTGCAAATTATTACATGAATGCAAAAATAAATAAATTATTATTTCCAATTCTCCGATCAACAACTAACCATCATACAAATTTTTAATTAAATCTCGGTAAATATATAACGTTTTTATCCTTAATTTTTTCCTTTTTTTTTCTTGTAAGAAGTAACCCACTAATCTCGTTGTTCCTAATTTTTTCCTACTGGAAAGTAACCTATTTATCTATCACACTATATGAGAAAAATTTCTTTTATTCGTTCACAAATTGAAGAAAATATTACCGTTTTGTAACTATCCGGTTTTGGTGATTTACGCGTAAAAGGTGGCAAACGTTTCGATCGTAAATGACTCGTTTGCTGTCTGAAAATTTTTTAAATGAAGAAAAATGAGAATACTTATCACTCTAACATGTAGAGTGCACCGTAAAACACGTAAAAACAATGTCACAGAAAAAATTATTTGCTATTTTTAAATTTTATGTAAGTAAATAACACTTAAAATCCTCAATGCATTTAATTATAAACGCTAAAAATTCCACTTTTACTTTTCGATCCTAAATGAGTATAACCAAACGATTTCATGATTCTAAAATAATAACCTAAAGTGTAGCAAATTTTTTAACCTTTCAATCTAGAACGTATTCTATGCTTGAATAAATTGAAAATAAATAAACAACCTTTCGCTTAATTTTTTCGTATGATATTAATTTATAATATTTGCGTTATCCATTGACGCATACTATCGAAAAACAAGAAAGAAATAAAAATAAAATGAAAAATAACGCTAATTCTAACTTTTCATATGATGCAACATCATTTGCCGTAGGATTTGTCGTACTGAAATCGTAAAAACCAGAAACACCATTAAAGTATCGAGCATCGGCAAGCTCTGATGAAATACTAGCATTTCTGTAAAATATACAAATAAAAAGTAATAAGAAAAAATTGAAACACTTTAAAAAGAATAACTTTGATGCCTAAAAAATTTTCCCGACGTGTAGGAAAACTTTCAAAATATCAAAAATTTCATTTGAAAAAAAGAAAACTACGTGATTGTGAGAAACAGTGCAGCACAGAAAATGCATAATGATAAGCGGAATAATGTTATCAGCCAACTGCTAATATTTTATAATTTGCTTCATTCTTTATCCAAAATTATTAATATTAAAATTTCCTGAACGTGTTCATGCAACCTATTCATGACATTATTAAAACTGTTCCGAAATATTCCCAGAAAATAACCATTCTCTTTAATACAGGAAATTCTAATTCATTATTGCCATTTTAAAAAATTTATACTGTACTAAGGAGAGGGAGAAAGAGGGAGAGAGAGAGAGAGAGAGTTATTTTTGAATTTAAAAATGCGTAGCGGCGATTGTCGTAAGATATGAATGGTTATGGAATGGAAAAGAAGAATTAATTGTGTTTCAAATATTATGCCAATTCAAATTTTGTTCTTAATGATAAAATAAATGAAAGAATTACATTGAAAAAAAAGATGATGAGAAGAAGCCCCGCTGAAATCAGCTGGAAAACAATAAATTTGTATTTCGGATACCAGTCGATTAATTAACCAACAAATCAATCAACCTTCCATTCTCCGATTCAGATATGATATGTCTTTCAATTCTTTTTTTGTTTTAATTCACAATATTCATTTTTCACTTATTTATCATCATTTCATTGCTTCCATCTTTTTTTCCTTTTTACATTCAAAAGATCCAAATAGGAAAATATTAACCAAACATTCGTTTTTTTGTTTGCTATGACTATTTAAAATTTCAATATACTTCATTTTGCAAATGCATGTTGAATAGCTCAATGCTAAGTTTATTGAAGTCATGTCTAAATAATTTTCTTGTATTATGAATGTCAATCTCTAAAATATAACGTTTATCAGTTAGTGAAGATGGTGGCACATTTCCTATCTAGCGAATTTTTAAATTGCTCATTCATAATTTGAAACGTGCTCAACTAAACTAGTAATGTAAAGCATGAATGAATTTTGTGCCAAAATGATTTAAAATTATTAGAAAGATTTGATGATGTAGCTTCGGTGAGAGATTCTAAAAGCTTAAATTTAAAGAAATATACTCACTCGTACTTAAAGCATTGTCCAACAAGTTTCATCAAAGAGTAATGCGAGAATATGTAACTGATACCGATAATTTTCGAACTTCTCGTAAAAAGCGAATAAAATGTCCACTGATTAAAAAAAATTACTACAAAAAAATTGTATATAAGCAAACAATTACTTAAGCGCCTCGTTTCTTAGCGTTAACAATTCGACTGCTTTACGTAACACTTGGTCAATATCTTGTTCAGTTGGTATTGGTGACGAGCCAATGGATGTACTGCCAGAAGTAGAACTAAAACTGATAATCTATCAGTTTGAAGGATTACAACAAATTGAAAAAAAAAAACATCATTCATGTGAATTTTTGAATTTATCGGCATCGAAACAATTTTTTTGTTTAGAATAATAATAATGAAATGAAATGAGAAATGTGATGAAATGTCCAGTCTATATATTAGAATACAATTTGAAAAAATGAATTATATATATATATCATTTACCTTATTCCAGCTTGGCTATTAGTTGTTGAAGCAGTTGCGCTACCATATCTTGACGGCAAGAAACCGGAATCACCGCTGTTCGATGGTAAACTTAAAGATGATAGTGGACGCAAATATGCATGTGAACTAGCGGGTATTCTATAAAAGAAAATCATAGACACTTGCAAAAAGTGCAAATTAAACAAAATCATCTAAAAGGAAAGTATTCGATAGTCAAACAAAAATATTTTACATATTGTAGCATTTACTCCCTTTTAGCCATTTCAAAAGAAAAAAAAACAATATTTTATCAATTTGTAAACAAATGAAACCAATGAAAATATAAAAGAGTATTTTCTTATTGCAAAATATTAACCATTTTATGATAACGGATAAATTTGCATCAACTGTTACATCACTTTGAAATATAATTTCACAAAAAGGGAAAACCTGTTCTTTCTTAAGCTCAAAATTAATTTGCATATTTTAATTATATATATAGTAATTTAGAACTTTTATTACACCAAAATGATATTTTATTCTACTAAATGATATATACATATATCTATGTAATTCAAAATAATATATATTCCCAACAAATAATATATATATATATATTCAAAGCTTGTACTCAAAAATTCGGTGCGTAATTCAGAATTTGTATTAAATTTAACATGCTAAGAAATTTGAATAATAAATAGAATAGAATGAAATGAAACACATACTCCGGATAACTGATATTACGAAGAGTTGACATTTCCAGATAGAGCTTGTTAAATTTGCTTGCTTCTTTGATTGTTATCGTTGATGTTGAAATTTGATGATGATATATAATATGCTCGGATATGATATACAATTATTTACAAATAAATATAAATACTGTTAATAAATGTGAGCTTTCTTCTTCTCCTTCTTCCTTCCTCTCTTCGTGTTAGCAGAGAGAAAATCCCTTCCTGACTGGCTATTAGTTAACACCGCTGAAAATACAAAATAACTTTTTTTTTAGAAAAAACTTTTCAATCGATTATTCCAAATCTGCTTTATTGAAGCTATTGCAAAATGCAAAATTCCGCAAATAAAGAAATTTTGAATAATGAAATAAAATATATTTTATGTGAAATATTTCACGCGATTAATTTTGATGGAAATGTACACGTTTTTTTTTGCAAATGTATCACATAGCATACAATTTGACGTAATTATGATTACACTAAATTGTACGCTGTTTGATACATTTCATTCGATGTGATAAAGAAGAACAGTTCAACAAAGACGTATAAACACGTGAAATAAGTTAAAAAATAAATAAGAAAAAAAAGTAAATAGCTTTTTAACTTTGAACATTTCGAAAGTTTTAAGGCAAATTAACATTAAATGCTCAGTCGTTAAACTACATAAATAATGAAATAATAATGTGATTAGTTAAATTTGAAATATAACTGCGAAATTGTTAACAAAAACATATATTTAAAGTAAATTTTAAAAAATAATCGGATAATAAAAAAATATGAAATCATAAAGAGATAGAGATAAAGAGGGAGATAAAGAAAGAGGGGGAGAGATTAATAATCGGATAGATATAGCGGTCAATCAGTAATTCAAACAAGTAATTTACCACAAAGAATATTTACATTCCTGTCAAATATAGCTTATGGATGCTTCAATGTCACGTTTGTTTCAAATGTTTTTTTTTTTGTTAATATCCGGTTTAAAAAATTGGTTTTTTATGAAACAAGCGTAAAATAAATTTTTATTTTATCAATCAACTCACACCAGTTTAGATTTCGGTCATGCGATATTAGATATGATATATATATATATATCGCAATAAGTGATTTCAATGGATCGAATTTATTCGAACTTATCAAAGCTGCGAATTTTAATTTTTACTTTACATTAACAAAATGTCGTTTTCTTTTTAAACTTTATTAAAATATTACACAGATGTATTACATATGACATAAAGTGTGGATAATATAGAAACAACGAATTCGTCTTTTAAAATCTTTTTTAATTTAAGAAGTTAAAGACAAGTAACATCAACAATTGAAACTTAATGAACACAATGAAATGTAATTAATTTTATTTTCAATGAATTTCTCTCCGTACCTAAATCGCAGTTTGTTGTATATATTCTATTTAAAATTGTATAATTCGCGAAAATAAAATAGAAATAATACATGTCGTTTTAAAAGTAGTATTGAAACACGTAATCACGTAAGTAAATGTTGAGTAAATGAGTAAATAAATGGGATAATATATTAACAGCGATACATAGTACTACTGCCGATCACAGGTAGAATATTATCCTGAACTGATAGCAAATACACACATACACACATGCACACACACGCATAATACACAGACATACATACCACATTCGTGCTTGACCT